CTCATCCTCAGCTACAAGTGCGTTTTACAGAGTTTCTGCCCTTCATGTTTTTCAGCTACTATGAGGTATTTGAGATCTGACTGGCAAGGCTAAATATCTTATCTCATTGTCTGAACACCAATTATTTACAGGAATCTTTCATTCTATGATTCTTCAAGGCTTATCACATGTCTCTAAATATTAACACAAGACCACAAACACCTCGCCAACCTCCTGTTACTGAGTAGCATAGCTAATTTTAATTTAAGCCTTTAAAAATTAGGTAGCCATTTGGAATTTAGAAGTTTTGCTTCATGATTTTTTATTGATGCTGTGCCAGATCATCAGCTGACCAATATTCACATAAAGTTATTGCTAACAAAAATAAATGTACATTCCTATGTACTGAAAATCCTCAAGTACTTAAATAAAAGCATATGTCTCATGGTATGCTTTAGGTGTGCCATCTGTCCTGCTACCTTGTTAGCAAATACAAAGATGCAATATCTGCTGCAAAACATTTACCATCTGAAGTGAATAAAGAAATTATGGAGGTAATGTGGGAGGAAAGCGTGTCCACACAGAAGAAAATTGATTGTCAATACTGGAGAATGACAGTGTTTCTCCTGTGTCATAGAATCACAGAATCCCAGGTTGGGAGGAACCTCATGGATCATCTGGTGTTTCTTGGCAAAAGCACGCTCTAGACATGATGGCCCAGCACCCTGTCCAGCTGGATATTAAAAGTGTCCAATGTTGGGACTCCTCATTTCCCTGGGGAGATTATTCCAGTGGGTGATCGTTCTCAGTGTTAAAAATTTTCCTCGTGTGTCCAACCAGAATCTCCCCAGGAGTAACTTGTACCCGTCAGGGATCGAGCCAAGTATTTAGGTTTATGTTTAAAATGAGGTGGTACAGAGGTTTTCAAATCCTCATTCTTGATTATGGTATTCTTTTACTTTGTTTCTGTGCGTTCGTACTCATCATTGCAATGCGGAGTCCATCTTTTTATTGAAACAGCTGGATTAAGAGGTACCATCTTGGCTGCTTTGAAGCAGCTGCTTTAATTGCCAGAGGGATCTGAATAGTATCTTTCCAAGAGGACACAAAAATATAGTCTATGCAGGCTGCAGCCCTGCTCTCTGCCACCGTGTCATTGAAAGAGAGGAGCAACAGTTGGTTTCCTACTAGAATAATGCTTAAAACAAAGAAAAATTTAAATATTAAACACTAATGGACAGTGTTACAAGTTATTTGATGGGAAATGGCTCATTGACCTGCTTAGTTTTATACCAGTGTCAATATATGTGGGATTTTTGAGAAGTTGATGCTTCTCCACTTATTGCTGTGGTAATACATTTGGCACAAGGGACATATATAATCTAACATTTGTATGATATACATACCCAATAAAAGCTTTTCCAATTTCATTATTTTGACAGGCAGATTCCATTAATACATCCACAACAATTATGTTCCTTTACAATCTAAGAGAAGAGGACTATTAAAAATTACAGACAATACCCCTATACACTTAATGTCTCCAAATTCACTTTACAATTGCTGTCAACATCAATAATGTCAGACAGTATAATCAGGTTTGTATGAAACATCAGCACTTGGATATTCTCCAAAGGGATTTCTTTCCCCACCTAACAATGAAACTGGGGTTTTGTTCCGGTCAGAAGAAGATGCTCCAAGTTCCCATGGAGAAGACCAAGGCTGCAGCTCCTCCCTCTTGTCCCATGCTCCATACGGTACCTTGGGCCCACCTTTCCACTTTAAAACCCATGTCATAAATGCTGAGGGGAATAGGTCTTCCAACCCCCCAGAAGCTTTTCTGTAGGAGAGGAGAGAGCTTAGAGAACCTGTGTTCCTTCCTCAGCTGTCTCAGCCTGCATGGGAGTAGCCACAAGCACAAGGCTACTAGCCAGGGGGGAAATTATTTAAGAGTTTGCTGAGAACTCATTTGTTTGCACCACTGGTTTACTCCTCAATAGAAGATGAAATTTAAAAATCATTTCTGTGGACAGATACTATGGCAAGTATTTTTTTCCTAGTTCTAGTATGGATTTTAAAGAACACTCACTGCACTGATATTAGGCTTTGAATTTAGAGTGCATGAAAAGCATTCTCACCACTGACAAGTATGTTGCATGTCCAGCTGCTCCAACGGCATTCTTAAACACAGTTAAAGGTGATAGAATTCAGCTTTTATAAATTTTGATACACAGATAAATTGAATCCTTCCAAAAATCCACATTTTCATTAAGCCTTTTGGGGGGGGGAGAAATAATCATATTATGTAGATGTACATTGCTCTTAAATCAACCTATGCCTACTGATTTAGTCTTTATTGTTACTGATACTAGCTCTTCAGTATCAGTGTCAACTCTCATTCTGACCAACCCTGTATGCAACATTTATAAAATCAGTTTCCATCATGACTTGGTACAAAACAACTGTGTGCGCCCACTTTCCTACGAGGCTCATCAGTTAATCTATCAAACAACATACAATTTAGTTTCCCCATTAGGTTTGTAGAAAGCCAAGCTAAGTGTGAGCAACCGGAGTTTGTTACTGGTCTCCGATATGTTTTTCCAACAATTCTATGAGTTGTCAGGCAAAGATTACTAAGATACAGGGGTATTTGTATCTTAAATCAAAAGTGGTTCAAACTGGAAGTGGTCTGTACACTGCTAGATGTTGTCCGTGCAGGTTTCCAACAGCGCGTCGTTAAGTAATGATTGTTTAACGGCACCCACTTTATATCGAACAAAGGGCTTTTATCCTTTTGTATCCTAGTGTTGTCTAAATTTATTGCGAGTATCTCTGACAGGGGAGACATCTAACAGGGAATGACTCTAATGTTTGAGCAATAACGCAACATCGATGGCATATAAGTTTGATAAGTTTAAGGTGAATGATGACCCCCAATCACAGCACAGGCAGGGCTTCAGGCAGATAATCTGATTCCTCTGCTCCTAATGCCCAGTTTGTAAACCCTAAGATAGATAGGTCAGATATATGCATATGGGTATAGATCAAAAGGGTGACTGCACACGTTGACAGGACACTAATTAAATTGATCCACAGCTGGTGATTACCTATTCTGAGCTGTTAATTTTGCAAGTGATAAGATAGGCTGCTTTCTTTTTTTCCAATTAGGCACTGATAGTGTCTGTCTCCCCCAGACAAGGAGTGCCACCTATTGCACACTCACTGCCGGGGCTGCCAGGAACCCATAACTGAGCGGGAGCACACCCCAGCACCGGGAACACGCTGCAGGAACGAGAGCCCATGTCAGCAGGAGCACACCTGAGCACCAGGAACACGCTGCAGGAACGAGAGCCCATGTCTTAGTTCTCACCTGCAACACGTAAATCATCTCACAGAACACAATGGAAATAGACTGAAATCTCTATGCAAGTGGATGGAATTTTGCTAAAGGCTCCACAGACATGCTGTGGTCAAACCTTGATTAAGATCCAAAAGTAAAAGTACTGAAGCAGTTGACAGTGTTGATATTTAGAAAAATAAAACAGGGTTGTATTTCTGATAATCATCCCAGTGAACCAAAGCAGGAAAAAGAGATAAGGCACCTGTCAAAAATCCCTTACCAGCAGAAACTTCATGAGTAGTTCTCAGAAAATGTGCTTTGTGGGGCTTCAACAAGCCCTAAATGACCATGGGAAGAAAAATGCTGGAAGAATACTCTTAGGAGAAGCTGGATTTAATAATGTATTTAAGATTCTGTAATATGCCAGACAGAGCTATCATTTTGCATCCTTAGAAATAGCACTGTTGTCTCAGGAAATAGTTCTGAGAGGGTTTCTTGACAAACGGTTACCAAAGTGGTTATGCAGATGCACAGCCTTCCACATGCCCTTCATTTTTCATGGCAAAATGGCATCTCCGTGCCAAAAGGATGTAGGCATGACTTCTCTGATGGATGGGACATGCAAATCAAAAGGCAGAAATGCTGAAGTTTGGCTAAAATAAAAAACGAATTCAAGAAAGGAATTCTAGCCGGTTCCATTGTCCTTTGAATTTCAGTCCAGTAGGACATTAGAAGCTGAAAATGGACTTGAAATGACTGGACAGAAAACTTTGGAACTCTTCTACAAAAGGGATTTGCCTGTAAGCAAAAAGATAGAGATTTGTGTACCTTGCTCAGGGTCTCAGCCAACGACCGTAGAATTAGTAATATTATTTTTATTATTTCAGAGAGCTTTGATTCAGATAATTGGCAATAAAAAATGAAAAAAAGTGAAATTAAGAAGTAAATACAGTTCAAGGTCAAAAGATTTTACAAGTGATGAGCTAATGCATTAGAGCTGTGTATATTTAATACATGTTGATCAGCATCTCATGAACAAAGGATTTAGGATGGATCCATACTTTATTGCAAACCTTTCTTTCAATCTAATAGATTTTTGTGTTTATAGGCCAGATTTGTAATTTAAGGGAAGGATTTACAAGAGGAGCCTAAAGGCTGTAAGCACTCGGCTGTTTGTGAAGTTCAATGGCATTTGAGTGTCTGCCTCCCCCAGGCGCTGTTATGAATTCTAACCATAACTTATTGACAATTGTCTTTCAGCTCAGAAAGCACAAAATGGTTACCCTTTACAATAACAGAATATTTGTTTTGTAGCCATAACAATAACCTGGTCTGCCTTCCAGGCACTATTTTGTGGTCAAAATCAGGGAAATTGACACCATTTACCTCAATGGAGAATTCAGCTGTTGAGGGGGGAGATGACTTTACTTCAGATTTACAATTACAAATTCCTGCCTAAAAGGTGTCGTGAAATGTGAAATTCGTCCCTGGTTGTGTAGAAGCCATTGTGGGCATGAGGCAAATATTGCAGGATAAAAAAAATACCCTTTCACAGATATCCTGCAAAATATGAAGGAAAAAAATTCAAAAGCAGAAAGAGTAGTTCTGTGTCTGACTGCTAGTACGTTTATTGTGGAAGCATCTCGGAGCCCTAATTAAGGACTAAAACCTCCTGTTTCAGGCTCTGCCAAGGAATAGAAGCTGACACCTGCCCATACAATCCATAGACTGAGATTCATTGATGTTTGATGGAGACCAGGAAGGATGGTGAAGTGATGCTTTACAGTTCTGAAAGAAATAGGTAAGTTATATTTTTTCTTCTCTTTTATATTAATATGCTCTTCTCTTCTAATCCTAGACTTTTACCTTTATCACTTGCTTGGAATTAATTCAGAATTTAGAAATGTGACTCTTGTCTTGCCAGCTGTTTGGAAATCTCCCTACACGACTGAACTATTGCAGCTCAGAGCTGATTTGCAACAGCTCTACTAACCCTGCTCTTGGCCTTTCATAAGGGGAGGCTTCAGCTGTGACATTCTGTGGCACTTTGCAAATGCCTAGGAAAAGAGATGTGAATGCAGAGTCTATTAAGATCACTTCCAGCATCTGCATAATCAGGATTTGACCCAAGGTCCAGAAGGGTTGTGCTTGTTTAATTGCATTTCTCCATGGCCTCCACTACCCTCAGTGTGGCAGGCAGCACATTTCACATCAGCAGGTTTCATACTAATCCCAAGTACATTTATATAGTTAAGAACTAGAGTTTGACACTATCGGGTGACATCATTTAAGTGCTTAAAAACACTCAATGAGGAGGGAGAAGCTTATCTCCCCTAATTTTTGTTTCTTCTTTGAAGTCCCCATCGCCGTCCTTTGCAGTGCGTCTTGCTGTTTATGGGATTTATTGGTGTGAATACTGAAAATATATACTGGAATATGTAAATTGCTTGTGTGGAAAGTTACATACTGAAGCCAGTTTCAAGCATAAATCCTTTATTTGTGCTCGGAAGTGTTCATTTGCTGGTGTAAATGGGTTTTCCTACATGCCCTATACTTTTAGAAGTTATTTGAATAAAACCTTTCGGAAAAGCAAAGAGAATAACATGAACTAGACAGAGTACAATACAGGTGGAAAAATACAGAGATATCTTTCTTATCAGTCATTGTTGCAGTGGACAAATAGAAATATTTCTATATAATGGATATAGCCTAATGCAAAAAAAATATCATAAATATCTGCTTAAGATTTTCGTATTAGGCTCCTCACATTCCTGTGTCCCAGCACTGTTGTATAGCCATTAAGTGGTATTATCCTTGCACAATCCTGATGAGGAAAGGGCTGTGTCTTAAGAAAGAAAACTCCTCTCCACTGACCATGCCAAAATATACATTTTTATGAGTAAATTTGTTTTGAAATGGGGCACTGGTAAGCCTTGCTTAGTTTTACACCTTGATACTGGAAGGTTGATAACCGGCCTACTTATGCCATCTTCTGGATAATTACAGAACTGTCAGTACGCAGGAGAAGCCTCTATCAAGAAGCATTCATTATTATCAGTGCCTTGAAATAATTCGCTAATTGAATCCCTGAAGTAATTTTCTTTCTTATTTTATAGAATTTAGAACAACCCAAAACCTAATGAATTATTAATAACATATCATATTCAGCTGTTATGAATAATCAGTAGATTGTACAAAAAAGATCTTTGTAAGTGTGGTCCCAACAATATTGATATATTTAGTGAACTTGTGTTTTAAGAAAAAATACTTTTTTATCCTGGTATTTTACTAATGAGAGCCCCATTTTCTCAAAAGACTGGGCTTTCATCTCTGGGGGGCAAATGTTACTCACGTTTCACAAGAAGTTGCTGGGGAGAATGGTGCTACAGCTGGGCTTTGCCAGCCTCAGGCGCTGCAGGGTCTGTTCCCTGCCCGCCCCCAGAAACCTGGAGAGAAGGCCCCAGCTTGGCCGATGGGGTTTCTTTAAAACACTGATCCAACACTCTGTTACTGTTTAGTTATTAGGACTGTGAAATACATGAGGCATTAATAGAAGGAACTAATTATAGCCCACTCAGCACTTAGCTCACCCTTCGCTTATAAAATCTCATCATTTATTTGTCCTTTAAATGACTTCTTCTAATACCTTAATCAGGACAAATAGATCCTTCAGAGGGGAGAAAATGACCCCAAACTGGCACAGAAAGATTTGATTAAAACTTACATTCCTTCTGTGGCAGCCTGAAGGTCCCAGGGGATCTGCCATTGCTCGGCGGAGCAGAGGGATCAGCAGGGAGGGAAAACACCTTCTCTCTGAGGCAAAAGCACGTCACGGCCAACGCGCTGGCACCCGGCTCTGCAGGACCAGCCCGTGATCGCTCTCCCCGGCTTCCTTTAAAACTCGGTGGCAGAAGTTTGGTCCCAGTGTGATTCATTTCCCCTTTACTGCTTGTGTGCCGTTTGCTTTTAAGTAAGATTTTTATAAAAGAGGCGAAACAAAGGCAGAGATGAAGGCTGTGCAGAGATAAACATTTGTGCTGCTGGGACTCCCACTGGCTCGGGCACCGCGGGGGCCGGGAGTGATGGGGACGCTCAGGCGGCGTGATTAGAGCTCAGGCTGCGAGCAGGTAATTGGAACACCAGGGCCCGTCACCGGCATTTACACCACAGCAGGCCATGGAGGGGCTGCGTCTGAAACCAGAGCCTTCACACCTCCCTCTGCCATTGGGTTTGAGCAGGAGCTGAGACCACGGACAAAACACACTTGTGGTTGCCCAGGGAGCGCTCCTCTGACACCGTCCCTGGCACCGTCCCTGAGCAATGGCGGCTTCTGTGGGGTTCTGGGGGCGACGGACGAGCCGCAGGCCTGGCTTTGGTGGGGGGCACCGGGAGAAGCAGAGGGGCCTTGGAAGAAATATGGCGGTTTGCTCCCTCAGCTCCCTCAGCCGAGGTTTGCTGTGACGCACCCGGGGAGAAGGGGCAGGAGTCAGGCAGGGACCTCGCACCAACCTTCAGGTGGACGTTTGAAAGCTCCCTCAGCCTGACGGCTCACTGTCACCTTCTGTGGGGACAGGGTGACAGCAGTTTTGAGGCCCAAAGTCTGCTTGGGATGTCATCGTAATTCTCAGTGTGTTGTGTGGCACAAAGCATGCTGCCCCCAGACGCTCTCCTCCCGGTCTGTCCCCTGCTGGGACCTCAGCTCCCATGGCTGAGAGCCGGTTCCTGACCAGGTTCCTGAAATAATATCTTTAAAAGCGTGATTGATGCAAATGTGTGATGTGGGTGAGAAATGCTCTGATTTATGCCTCTTTTTCAGTACTTGGTAATCATTGCGTCTCATGAAAGCCTCTAAATACGGCTTTTTAATTGTAGTAAATTAGTAGTGGAGGAGTTCCCTCATCAGCCTGGGCTCCCTCCTGCCGAACGCCACTCAGAAGTTATGCTCTCTCAAGCGGATGTTTCTAGTTTTTAAGACAATGGGAAACTCATTTAGTTTCCCTTTGGTTTAAGAAGAAATATCAACTCAAACCTTATGCACAGATGGTAAAAGAAGTAATTGTCACATGGCGCCGAGACAGACCCAGAACCCCAGGCGTTCCCGGTCCTCTGTCGAGATTCACTCTTGTCCAGACACCCCCGGCTGATGCGGGACAGATTCCTGGCCGTGTTTTGGCAGCAGGGGTCCTAAGAGCTTTCAGCAGTTTGAGTGGTTGTTTAGGTGTTTGTCACTCCTATATAGAAGTAATCGTTCCTATTAAAGGGCACATAGTGATGCTTATAATATTAGATCAGTCATTCAAATTAACTGAACACCTCATTATGCGCTTACAGGGCACACACACCTCCCACTTTGTGTGGCTCTGATCACACCTAATGATCCGGTGTTTGTAAGCATGGTGTGCTCCAGACCCAACACACATTTACATGAACAACAAACACACAGAACACTCTCATTATTATTTTTAATCTTTTATAATTTTCAGAAGAAATAGCAAACCACAGCACAGTTCTGATCTTACCAATACAGTTATAGTTTGCAATAAAAAAGACCTGGTGGTTATTGGCCGTGCTGTTAGATCACTGGCCTGAATTGAAGTCTTCCATCTGGAATGACAAACCAGAGATGGTTTTTCAGAGTAGTGATTTGTTGTGTAAACAGATCCCGCTGCTGGCGTTTAGGAAAACTTAGCTGCCTGCCTCTCAGGCAAATTCTTCTACCACACTTGACAGAAGTTTCCAACCTTGAATTATTAGTTAATAACATCTGAGCAAAAGCATAATTTATTCTTTAAGAAAACTTTGAAACAGAAGAACAGTGCCTTAGCTACCAGACTTAGTGCTTGCCCTGGGCAAAGAATATTTCTTTCAGGACAAAATTGTAATAGAACAGAAGTAAAATCTGGGACTAATTCCATCTCTTATTATCTGTATCACTTACCTAATAGCAGAATAGGATCTTCTGAGCTATTCTTCCCGACAGCCATCAAGCTATAACTGAGCAGAGGTCAACTGCACACACTTGGTAGCATTTACAGTATTTACAACAGTGCAATAATACTGAGAGCCACCAGATGCCAGCACGAGCAAATGGGCACTGAGGAAGCGCCTGCTTTATGCTAGAAGGCCAGCTCGGTGCAGAGCTCAGGCTGCGATGCAGTTACAGTCACACCGGGAGTAGAAGAGCATTTCCTCTTAGATATTTCAATGTCATATCGGAGTAAAAGATCTGATCAGCAAGTCAGACCCGCACGGTACCGTATGGAAGTTAGTCTTGGATTTAAAGGGACCAGAACAGACTGCATCACCAGCCTAGCTGGTAATTGCCTTCTCCGTTCACAGCTGCCTTATTTCCATATAGAACTTGGACTGGAATTTCTACCCTAGTAGATGTCTTTTATTCCTTTGTTTACAATAGCGAGGATCCTTAATATCAGATCTTCCATTTGTGTTAAGTCTGCACAGAATATGCCAAAATCACTCCATCATCTCTTCAGAGCAGAGTGGACCCTCCGGACACTCAGGTTCTTGGCGGCTGTGTGAGAGCAGTGCAGCAGGAAGGGTCCAAGGCAGGTCCCCGTGGCGCAGACACCGCAGCGCTTTCCAGCGCGGGTGAGTCTTTTTCTCCCAATTTTTCAGTGCTTCTGCCAGAAGTCTTTGCAACACCATAAAGTAGGCACAGCCTTCTGAAATTAATTGAATGATGGAAATCGCTTCTGACAGATTTCTTCCAGAGCAGAAAACTTTGGTCCAAGAGTGTTCAAAAAATTAACAGGCAAGTCCTCACCACCACTGGAGAGAGAGCAGGAGTCACTTTGTTCTAGTTCTCCTTCCTCAGTGTATATGTGAGGTTTACAGATGTCACTGTAATCTTCCAGTCCGTTTTGGTAATCCAGTTGCTAAAGAAGGGAAGAAACAATGCAAATCGTTACAGAAGTTCTTATTGCCCTTCTAAAAACCAAAGTAATTCATGGTATGCAAATTAGTCAGTTAAGGCAGTAGGTTGCCGTGAAGAGTATGAGTCTTTCTCTCACAGGGAAAAGTCTTACTGAAGCTCTCAGCTGCACCAGAGCCTGAACTTCCCCTACAGTACAAATGAGGCAGAAAGGAGCACTTGTTCTGTCCTGGACCAGCCAGTGGGTGAGTAAAGCTGGCTGCGTGGAGCCAGGCGTGGATCCGTGCGGTCAGGCCCAGGGAGACGTGGGGGGACAGGCCTGGGAAAGCGGCCGGGCAGGACATGGGGAGAGGATTTTCCTGATGGCACAGAAGTGAAAGAGCGGGCAACCAAACTGTGCACAGTCACACAAAGCCTTTCAGCCCCACTTCCCTGATTGAAGAATTTGTTACAGGTGACAGACCCCAACCTTGCAGTAACTGCTGGGTGACCACGGGCAAGGAGTGTAGGAGACAAGACATGTTCAACAAGGATAGAATCTTCAATGCTCCCCCATCAGATATATCCCTTGCTTTTGATTGTAATGCTTCTTAGAGATGGGCTGAGGGAGTAGCTGAAGCCACAGCAGCCTTCCAGCTCTACAAGCCTTTTTTCCCATTCTTACAAGCCAGCTTGACAAAGGAGGAGTTCAACATTCATTTCTTACCTGAGCCAGTATTCTGTCCACTGTCTGTATCATGGATTCAAAGTGTCTTTCCTGGAATGTCTTGTACCTAACGTACAGGCCATCCTGGAAGACAGACAGAGTATCTCAGGTTTGACCAGCATAAAGTCACGTACTCACATTTCTCTCAGCTAGAAATAAATCCAACTGTCTTTGTCTCTGTTACACCCATTTCCCTTGTGCTGTCTTCTCCAGTTACAGCTTTTCTGTTCAGGGACTGTTTCCTATAACTTACGAGTCCACACTCTGTGTGTACGTGGAGTCACCAACCAGAGGCAACCAAAGTGTCAGTCTAAACTGAAAGCTGTTAGAAAAAAATAAGTTGTCAACAATATTTTTAGGAGTCACCAACCAGAGGCAACCGAAGTGTCAGTCTAAACTGAAAGCTGTCAGAAAAAAATAAGTTGTCAACAATATTTTTAACTAGTAGCGGGATGTCCAACAAGTGACACTTCAATTTTCTATTGAAATATATTGCATTATTCTTCCCACTTAACTAGTAGCAGGATGTCCAACAAGTGACACTTATTTTCTATTGAAATATATTGCATTATTCTTCCCACTATTATTAATACCAAACCTCAATCTTTGGATTACCAATTTCCATGGTATAAAAAAGGCCGTTTATGTAAGGAAACAGGCAGTTACCTCAGAAATCGCTTCTTCTCCAGCCTCCACAGGCACAGGCAGACGAGCAGCGTGATCTGTGATATCCAGCTTAGCCTGCGTACAGGGACAGGGATGGTTTTAATAAGAAACTGAACCAGACTGTGAGGGATCACACTTTTTTTGCAGTGTATTCCCTTTTTCACTTTCATTTCTTCCTCGTTGCAAACACTGGTGTGCGCAGTGTGACAAGAGACGATGTGCCGCCTCTTCTCTTGGATTCATCAGAGGATGAGGCACCTGGGAAGGTCCTGCTGATGCTGAAAAGCGGTAGGAGTGACAGCAGTCTGTCACCAGAGTAGCATTATCCAGCCCACGCAGAACACCACTCCCCAGGTGTGCTTAGTGGCAAAAAAGCTTTATTTTGCTCAATTCTAAAACCAGAGGAAACATAATAGAAGAGATGACTAGTACCAGATTCAGGCAGTGGTGGGGTACTGTACATCTATGCTTTTGCACTTACTTGAAACACAGGCATTCTGCTTTCTTCATTATAGTTGATTAAAGTCTGTTCACCCTCTTGAGGTGGAACAAAGGCTTTGCTTTTAGATCCTGACCCATAAACCAGGCAAAGCAGAATAATGGAAGCTGTTGAAACAAGAAAGGGAATGGTGAAACAGGCACTGTGAACAGGTCTGTACGGCTCCACGCGGTCAGCTGGTGAGGTCATTTGAACATTTTCTTGGTTATCAAAAAAGATCCTTTTGCTTACTAGGTGGAAATGGCACTGTCTTGTGTTGGAAACTAAGGTCTTCCTAAAATTTGAAGAGAGAACAGGTCATGCACCAGGACCCATGGATGGAAGTGCCATGAAGAGTGCAAGTATTGGCTGCTTGCACCTTGGCTACGCTCTACCATACCAGGGCTAACGGTCTTGCCTGCTAAGGACGTGCCAAACTGGCATGAGATCCAATGGGCAGATGACAGATAACTTGCATGTGCAAGTTAGAGGGTTACTCACCCAGTAGTAATAAGAAAGCCAACAGCATTATTGCAATGGCAGCACCTCCAAGAGTCACTGCTGCTTGTGGAAGTGGTGAATCTTTACATGTATGTCCATCTGGGCAAAAGCAGAGCCTCACATGCTGAGTCTGCCTCATGGAAAATCCTTGCCTGTCCCGAATAATGACGGGTATCAAGTAGCCACCTTGTGGGAGGCTTCTTAACATTACAAGTTCAACTGATTCTCCTAAAAAGAAGACAAGCGAATTATTTCAAGACTCACAGAAAGAAATCTGGCATTCTGCAGTCCCTTCAAAAAGTTCCCTTGTTGATAATCAAAGGGAAACTCATTTCCACCCCAATTTCAAATACTTTCTCCAGCCTTAATGCACTATAGTAAATAGGACAAAATGATGTCCTGCTCCATCCCCTCGCTGAGCCTCTTGGCAAACAGCTCTGCCCCAGCCTTGCTGCATCCTGACATAGCTGCACCCAAACCTCTAGAACTCCTTAGGAAGTCAATCAAATGCAGAAGTGGTTCCTCAGCTGTCTTATCCCCCACCTTCTGCAATGTGAGCACATCACTTCTGGTCCATTCTCAGCAGAGATGAAGAACGATGTAACTTTTTTTCATATTGCAGTCACTTTCTATTTTGAAAGCTGTTCTTCCATGTCCTTTCAGTTTAGTTGAGATTAATCAGTAATAAACCATAAAGGTAAGACTATATCCACAGTGAAATAGCTAGAGGGCACATAAGTGCCAATGAACTTCTCATGAAGGACATTCAAGGAAGAACTCACCGAAGTTCCTTCCTAATGTCCAGTTACGCTTCACATCTTCAGAGTCCTCAGCCAGCTCAAATGTAAATGGCCCAGAATGTGACTGGTCTGTAGCAGACTTAGCTTTTATAATGAGAGGTGTCCCTTCTTTTTTGTCACACACGTCTAAAGACGGAGCTGCTAATGTTGGCATATGATCACTCATGTCAGACAAGTACAGCAGGATGGTGCCGGTACCAGTCTGAGGTGGAATATCTAGACAAAAGTAAAAGAAACAGAAAAACACTCGTAACTGGTCTGGACAAGAGCCGGTCCGTTGGCAGGATCTCTGCCTGGTCTATCCTACCAGTCACACGTAACACCAGCTTTAACCGTTAGGGTGTCTGTTCTCACCACCATTCTCCACTGAGATCCTTACTCTTGCTGTCACTTTATATCTAACGTGCACCTCATCTCAAACAGTCCAAATACTGCCTGAATATTTTCTGACTGGCCACTTACCATGGCCAATAGCATGAACAACGATGGTGTACAGGCTGTTGTTCACATAAGGAGACTCTCGATCAAATTCTTTTGCCACAGTAAGAACTCCAGAATTCTCATCCACACTCAGCCAGCCATCTGGGTCACGGGCTAGTTCATATCTTAAAAAGAAAGCAAAAAGTTACAAGTGCTGTATTTTCTTAAATGAACTTTGAAGAACAGAAAATTTCTACTGCATCTTTCTTTATCCTTTTTGCTCTGTAGGTATTTTCCCTTGTTAGTCACTTTTGTTAACGCTAGGACCAGCTGTGTGTTTCAGCACAGCCAACACACGGGTCCCCGTACAGGTCCCCATACCTTGTGCAGGCCCATCAAAACTGTTCCTAGGGACTAAGAAAGTATTTCCTTATGCATTAGGTTCCCGTTCTTATAGCCCAGCATACCTTAGTCCTTTCTATCGCATCAACATTTTGTTGTCAAAAGTAAAATACGCAAATAATGCAACCAGGATTTAGGCCAAACTGTTGCGAAGACAACATTGAGCAACCAAGGACTGAGGGTACATATAAATTCTGTCTTAGACAACCCACTATCCAGATCTGTGGTATCACCAGTAGAAAATCTGCACCTCTGATGTACATGTTCATGTAACTGTAAATTTAGATGTGTATGTATATTCATATGTGTTCATATACCAAATTAAACTTGGAAACCTCTTTATATTCCTAAACTATTTCTTATTCTGAGAGTTAGGAGCATCTCCACTTACTTTATCTTATTTGGCACATCATTTGGATATGTGGCAGGATACCTCCTAAATATTTTCCCAGGCTTCATTGAATCTTCTTTTTGGACAATAAGTACAGGAGGATGAAACCTGGGAGCATGTTGTGGCTGTAAGACCACGATGTTCACAGTTGTATTCGAGCTGGATTCGAGGCCTGAGGTCATCACAAGGCCGTTTTTACACAAGAAGAATGGATTCGACGCCTGAGTTCATCACAAGGCCGTTTTTACACAAGAAGAAAGGTTCTTCATTTGCTACAGAAATGACAAGTCTCATCTCAGAGTCATCTTCATAGTTGAGAGGCTGAAAACCCCAGACAAAAGTCTGATTAGCAGCTCTGACCTTTGGTTTGGGAGTCACCCCTGTGTGCCTGGAACTCGGCGCTGAGCTGAGCTCACCAAACCCAGCTCAGGTACTGAGCTCGTGGTCTCATGGTCAGACCACACCACACACTGCCATGCTGTAGGTCACCCAGTACTGCTCCTTACCTTGATAATACTCAAAATGCCTTCATTAGTGACTGGATCTGTCTCAATGGTGAACTGCTCCTTCTCATTGCCTTCCGTTACTCTGTATTTTGCTCTCCAAGCTGGAGTGTTGGGAGAGTCTTCATCTTCTACCGGGAGCCGTAATACAGCTGGGTGCTCCTGACCTGCTGAAATCTGCAGCAAGTACTGGGAGGGGAAAGGAAAGCAATAAGGACTATTTCTATTCCCCAAGAGGAGGAGGCTGGTTAGCCAGTTCTGAGCCAGAGTTCCACCACATGGAGCTACTTTCAGACACACTGTCATTTCCCTACTAAACTCTTCAGCCCAACTCTCAAGGTTTTGCACTTTTACCTTTCCAGTTCTCTCCCCACCCACGGCAGGGAGTGCGGGAGCGGGGAGCGGGTGTTCAGCTGCCAGACGGGGCTAAACCACAACAAATGTGGCAACACACAAATTACAGACATGGGCTTTATGGGATCTGAGCTACTGATAGGACCAGAGCCTGAAAATGGATAGCTCTGATCTGAACTCAAGTGTAGCTCTCACCCGCTCACAGCCTTTAGCAGCACGGGGCCACGCAGGTCTTCATGGAGCAAAGCCAGGAACAGATCACAACCAGCCCCTCAGCCCAGTCCCTCAGCACCCCTAGGGCAACAGGGACAGCATCCCTCGGGTGCTGTGCACAGAAAACTAAGGGAGTGTGCCCCTCTCTATAGTCAGAATGTCAGTTTACTGTCCACATGTTTAAGAGACATTTCTTCTAACACATAAAGCTCATTTGCAAGTGTTTTGGCTGCGAAGTGTGAGGGTTCCTACTCCCACCACTGAGCACTTTCAGCAGTTTGAAGGACTGAGCTGTATTTAGGAAGGTTCAGTAAAGCAATAATATTTTTCCTTACATTATCCCTAGTAAATACAGGGAGGTGGTTGTTTGCATCTTCCACGGCTACATTCACTGTTGCAGTAGATGAGAGCTGGGGAGTCCCGTGGTCACTGGCTTTGATCAGAAGTTTGAAGGAGCTGGCAGCCTGAAAAGCAGAAGAAAGGGACTTTCAGACTTAGCTCAGAAGCAGTTCCCACGTGTTGCCAGTCACAGCCACAAGGCTGGACGTGAGGCTCTCCCAGGTTAACACACAGTGAACATGTATCATGCACTCAATGAAAACAGGCTGCTGTGTGTACATCACCTTATAATCCAGGCATCCTGTCAGAAATATTGATCCTGTGGTAGGATCAATATTAAATGTGAATCCATCTGCAAGGGGCATTTGCATAGTTAGAGAATAGGACACCTGAGAATTTGCGGTGCCCTCTTCATCTTTGTCCAAGGCAGTAACTTGGAAAACGGGCTCATCTAGGATGAAGAATTGAGACATTAATAGAAGTGTTTAGTCTTGGCATGGAGTTTCTCAGCCTGTCTGCAGGGTCCTGGACACACAAGTCCTAAGAACACCTATAGATTCTCCTGTGGCTATGGCTATCTCTGCAAGCACTCTGGCCTCCACCTCACTTGGGTAGCAAGTGCCTCAAGTACCAAGAGACAATAGAGAGTTATCACACTCCTGAATTTACTTTATCAAAACCATTCCCTGGTCAGTTATGCCAGGACTGAGCCGGGTCCTGAGGATTTCACCCCATGGCCACGTCAGATTACTCTGCTAAAGTCTTGGCTTGTAGTTAAGAACTACTCTCTCAGGAGTTTTTCCAGCATGTCCCCATCGTTACACTAACGAACAGTGAGGTTAATCAGACAAGAAGCCAAGGGACAGGAAACAGTCCTTCAAGGACACAGTCCCTAAACCCATGAGTGTTTAAGTAAAACCTGGGGAGAACAGATCTTGTAAAAAAGGAAAAAGAAAGACAAAGAAATTAAAAAGAGAGCAGTCATACACAACCAGGAGTGTCCCTCGGTTGGATGGCACTTACCTTTACTGTGGTTCTCTCTTACTGTAACACTATATTCCTCCTTGGAAAACTCAGGTGCATTGTCATTAATATCTTTAACCTTTATCTTGAAATATAAAGGATGGTCCAATGGTTCACCAGTTTTTCTGCATACAATATTGAAACGTATCTAAATGAGTAACAACACAAATATCAGAATGGAATGAATGGCATCATTTAGATATCAGAATGGAACAAGAAACTTTCAATTTTGAAGCTGCATCAGTCACATTTGGGTAGTGTTTGGCTTTCAGTTGCATCACTAAGTCATTATTTCACCTTTCAAAGGTAGTAGATTGATAATTGTCGTCCTGAAATGACTGCCTAATATAAAATACAAAACTATCCTTGGAGCCAGACAAAAGAACGCTTTCATGTGTGCTCCCCAATTCTGAAGTATGTATTTGAATAGTACATCCATTTTCTATGGTGTTTTTGCTCCATATTCATGAATGTTCAGGGGGTTCAATTCTGAATGCCGAATTCTCCTTTGCTACACTTATTTTTATATAAAGTCACAATAAAACAGATTTGCAGGTCGTCCAGTATTATCCATTTTTTTGTAATGCATAACTATTTGCTTCCATTCTCTTGATTAAGAGTTTTGGGGTTTACAACTCAGTGTTCTGGCCACTAGAGCGGAAGTTGCCTATTGGTCTCTGCTGAGAGAATCATCTTAGCGTTTATGTAGAGGCTCAAAATAAGAAAAAGAGGCCATAAAAACATGTGTCTCATTCTTGTGAAGCATTGGGCCATGAGAAAGCAACTAATATTTGCAAACGGTTTTAAGTATTTTTTTAAAGTGTGTTACCTGAAAAGTTGAGGTCTTTTCTCTGTCAATAGAACGATGTACGTACACGTGGCCGTCCGCATCGTCCTCTATGGAAAACAATCCCATCTCTGGAGGTTCATCCACCCCAGATCCACTGATTAAATATTGTACTGACTTATTAAATGATTTGTTATTGAAAAGCTTTTGGAAAAAAAAAAGAAGTAGCACAATGAGGTGTGAGTAGGGAAGACGGAACAGAAACGAAAAGACTTTAGCCCTCTTCTCCTCCCGCCCCCTTCTCTTGGCTCCGGGGGGCTCGGCCGAGGCACCTCCCCACCCCGCGCCGGCTTCCCCCCGAGCTGCCCATGCAGAGGAGCAAGACACCCCCCACCACACAACTCTCCCCACCTCTGGGTCAATAAGACAACTTTGAACACATCACTTGGTTTTTTAAAAAAAGGTGCTGTTTGATGCAGGGTTCTTGCCCCTCCTGCCCCTGGCGTCCTGACACCCCGTGCGTGTGATGAACCCCTCCCTGGGGCTCGCTCCCCCCACAGGCTGCTTGTACCTGCCCAGCAAATTTGGGGAACGGGCCTTTGTCCTCCTCTTGAACATCAATGGTGGTGATAACCCAGGTCCTTTTGGTCCGCTGCAGAGGACGCAGGCTGTCTAATGGATCAGAACCCAGCCACTGTCGGACAAAGAAGTGTCTTTAGTGCCACAGTTATGTGTTAGCAGTTGGGTATCTGTTACCATAGAACAGTGACTACAGACCTGAATACTCCTCTTTCCGATGGCTTGGCTTAAACTGAAATTTTCAATTTCATGAAAAAAACTGTTGGCAGCAGTAACCTTGTGGGAAAAAAAAGGTGATTGTGAGAAGTGTGGTTGACTAGGAACCATCAATGTGTTGTCTAGGAGGGCTTTGGCTTCACAGAAACATATTGATTCAGCTCTGACAGCGTTGTATGGAATTGTATCTAACCCTGGAAATGCCCCAATATCATCCATCTCGTTCCAAATGAACTGGCATGAAAGCTTGATATTCATTTTGCTGGTCAGGCGGTGCCCGTCCCACAAACACGCAAACACCGCATCCGACAGCCCCTGGCATTATCTCTATGGCTTTTCTCAAACCAGGTATCTCCAGTTTTCAAACTCCTTGCCTTCGTCTCTCTGGGGAAGTTGTCTCTCTCTTTCTGGTGTCCTTCAGAAGTTGTCTGTTATTGACAGGACATAAACCCACTACTGGGAAAAGTCTGGGGAGTATTTCAGGTTCTGAGAGACTGCAGTGACTCCGAGTGTCCCAAACACAGCCCATTTACCAGAAAACAGACACTGGACCAAAGTCTCTAATCCACATGAGTGAAATAAATTGTAGAGAAAGGTGCCTGCAGGATTTGCCCTTTTCTAAGCACCAGCTTCTAACACTGCTTTTTCCTTGAAATCCCTCCCCCCAAAGGAGTACCTCGCTACTCAAATCACACTGTTGCCATCAGCTCACGGGTAACTTGTGCCCCGTCCTCTGTGTTCCCGCTGCTTTCCTTGGAAAGCCTGGGCTTTTAGTGCTCTTTCCATCACATTTAAAAACTGAAAGCGAGTTCCTCCTACCAAGGCTTTGGGCGAAGGTCGGGCCTTTACCCCATGACCTTTTTCTGAAGAAATGTAATAAAACCGCCATGGTTACAGACTTGCCAAGCCCCAGGGGTTCCCCGGCGGTGCCTGGGGCTGTAGAGCTGCTGTGGAACCCGGGGAAAACTTCCGTGATGGGAGAGCCCCCGGCGAGGCTGGGACCTGCCACTGGCATGTCCTGTTCGGCGGCTCTGTCCTGGGTCCAGCTCCGCCCCCCCAAAATATCTGCTGCCCCCTCCGTGTCTGTGCAGCCGCTTTTAACTATATTGGAAGCTTTAACTGTGGATTTTAGGGCTTCCACGCTTCTCCATGTGCACCCGTTGTATGGAAATGCCACTGAATTACTGCGGCCTCCCAGTCCCGAAAGGGGCTCCACAAAAACTGGGGAAGGACTTTTTCCAAGGGCATGTAGTGACAGGAGGAGGGGGAGGGTTTGACACGGAAAGAGGGGAGATGGAGCTGAGCTGTGGGGAAGAAATTCTTTGGTGTGAGGGTGGTGAGAGCCTGGCCCAGGTTGCCCAGAGAAGCTGTGGCTGCCCCATCCCTGGAGGGGTTCAAGGGCAGGTTGGAGGGGGCTTGGAGCAACCTGGGCTGGTGGGAGGTGTCCCTGCCCAGGGCAGGGGGTTTGAAGGCCCCTTCCCCCCCAAACCCTTCTATGACCACCCGTCCAGTCCCTGGACATCCCCGTCCCCAGCTCCGCACCCACCTGCAGGAGAAGCAGCAGGGCCGGTGGCTCCATGGCGGCGGGGGGCGGGTGGGTGCTGGGGGGTCTGTCCGACCCGGCCGGGGACACGCGGGTGATTCCGTCCGTTCAGGTGAAATTCAAAACGCCCCGAAGCGCTGAGCGTCCCCAGGTCCCTCCCCCGGCTGGGGCTGCCCTGGCCCGGAACCGCCGCCCCGCACGGACGGAAGGTGCTGTCGCTGCAGGTTTGTGCCCATTTTACAGCTGTGATGAACCACCTGCCTTTCCGTGGAAATACCGTTGGCTCCCAGCCTCACCAGTGTTTGCAAAACGCTATCGTGTGACCTGACATTGACCCCCCCCACCCGCCGCACCCACGGCTCCGCTCGCCTACCCCAGACTTCGGACCCGGGGCGTAAAAGTTGATACAAACACCTCCAGCCTGTCCTGCTCGACCCAGCAGCCAGCAGGCAGGCACCAACCTTTATAGACCTGAAACTGAACTTCCCGCCTAACTTATGAAAAATACATTGTAAATAAAACTACTTTAGAGGCGGGAAATGAAAAAAATAAGTCCTATAAAACCATGTAAAAAGGCGGCAGGGGCAGAGGGTACGGGGAAGGTCCTGGCTTTTTTTAGAACTGGAAAATAGTGTTCTGGAAGTTGGAAAAAGAAGACTTAAGGCAGAACTGACCTTCTGCTCAGGGGAGAAGAAAAGCAATAGAATATGTCAAATAGGCCACAGTATTTTAAATAAAAATGAGCGTGGGCAGGAAGGCAGGCAAGTGATCTCCTGAGATTCACAACTGAAAGGACAGAAAGTAACAGGCTGAAATAACAGCCCAGGATGGGATGGTTCAGACATCAGGAAAAACTTAAATAGCAAGAATGTTCTGATTGTAAAATTCTTGTGTGCCAGCCCACCGAGCAGTTAATGTACAGATTACAGAGAGAGCAAAGCACAGGGATTTTCAGCAATAGGAAATGCCATTCTCCCCTTTGGATCTCTTTCCCTTCATTTTCCTCCTGCTCTGTCCCAGCTGAGCGTAGGGAGATGCAGCGTGTGAAGTTAAGTTAACCCTACATATCCCTGTACACTGGCAACACCAGAATGTGCTTCTCTGCAAGTGTCTGCCCACACATCTGTGCTCTTTGGGTCCTGGAGATGTAACAGAGAATGTGAAACTCAGTGATTAGTGCATTTCATTTTTTTAAAAAAAGGTATGAATATGATGAAACCAGTTTTTGCTGTTAACTTCACCTATTCTGGTGCCTTAGCACAGCCACTACAGAAGTGACTGCCATGGGGAGCAGAACTAATCACGCAGCTTTAATTACCTGGCTTCCCAGCAGCAGCACTGGGACATCCTGAGCCCCCAGCCCTACCCTGCACTGCAGCAAAGACTGTTTCTGACAGAAAAATTCAGAGGTGCCATCTGGTGGATGATGGAAAACATGCAACTAAGGAACAGGCAGTATCTCACCTTTAATATAATAAATATACAGTAACTTCGAATTACAAGATCACTTTCCAATGGAATTGCTAGCAAAAATATTCACCAAAAGTTCAAATAAATAATAACACATGATTAACAACATCAAAAGCTGGGCTGAAAATTCTCAGCTAATGGAGTTCCAGTCTTTCCAGATACAGTGGTCTGTTTCGTTCTTTTTCAGAAGAAAACCCACTAATGCCAATGGGAGCAACAAAGGCTCAATACCTTTAAAGTAAGGCAAAAAATATGACATTATAGGCAATTTCAAACTGTAGAAATTTCAACTATAATATCAGCTCCAAAAGAGGTATCACGTACTGACTGAAAGAACTGTCAAAACACTCTCTGGAGAAAAAAAGAAACATCAGGAGAAAAACAAACAGTGCTTTAAAATTCTTCATGTGACACATTAAAAAACCGTTTCTACATACTGGAGTAACATTCTCTGTCTTCACATCTTTATAACAGGGGAATTTGACTGAAAACAGAGTTGCTCAACATTTATACCAGTATAACTGAAGCAGAATCTGGCCATTTATTTAAAATACAACCTGAGAGTTATTTGTTTTGTAGGTAGTACTGCAGAACATTCAACCTTTAAATTATCTAGAAAAAATATATATATTTAAATAAATAAATGTTTAAATATCTCACTTCACAGAAAACTTGTTCTTCAAGAAGCATTTTCAATGTTGACACACAAGAACATATGAGCAAATTGCTAAACATCAGGAAAAACTCATCAATAGCCACTCAAACACTGTGCCAGGGAAGCATTTTAATTCCAGACAGAATGTATTGGATGGAATAAACTCTCCTGCTACGTCCAGAAGTGCTTCTAAAGACAACAGCCATCAATACAAAACGAACAAAACACAAACCATGGTCCTCTTCATGAAAGGAGCTCTTTTTCTCCATAGGCCCAGAACACAGTCTTGAAGTGGAAGCAGAAGCTGCGGCTGAAGCCCAGCCCTGCAGGTCTGCTCACGCCAGAGCTGTTTGTTGAGGCAAACACAGAATTTCTATTTCCGTGTGTACACAAAGAGGAGTGTGTAAGGAGCATCAAATCAATGAACAAAAATTAGACTTGTGTAATTATCAAACAAACTTCCTTGGCCAGATCCCAGCCAGAGCTCAGTGCGGAACAAGTATTTGGGCTTATTTTAAGTATCATTCACCATCTCCACCTGCTGAACTTCCTGGTCTCCAACAGCACACTTCTGTCCAGCACATCACAAGCACTACATCGAAACAAAACTTTCCTAGGTCCACAGGAAAAAGCTTTCCTCAGTGCCACCCAGCTTTGCTCTGGTCAACGCTGACTGAAACACTATTTGTTAATTCTTTAAAAAGTGATCATGCAAATTGTGTCTGTATGTACATGCCCGCCCGCCTTGTCACCTGGAAAAGCATCAATAGACAGCAGCATTTCAGAGGGAGATTTAGCAGACACTAATATTCAGTGCTATACAACATGCTAAATTAATTACTGCATCTAACAATTGTTTTAAAATTTTGTTTTAAAAAACTGCTATGCTGGTTATTGACTTGATCCTGCTCACCTTGCTCTTGGTGCTTGTAACAGTGCACTAAAGGAGCGTGCTAAAATCGTGCACTAAAGTAGAGTTTATTGGCAAGAGCAGTCCCACTAACTATCAGGAAAACTTGGCTAATGAAGGCTTGTAGAATTTGGCCCGAGTTTGAAATTCTAGCACTGGCTGCAAGAACCTTTCACCTAAAAAATGCTGGAATAGATGAGGAGTCTAGAACAAAGCAAAGGGATGAAGGGGCAGCAGTGGAAGGTGCTGGTCCCCTGCAGCTGCTGGTGCTGAATGCCGTCCTCCGCGCTCCCCCGCTCGGTTCACTGGAATTGCATAGAGCCAAATGGACATGCAACTACCCCTCACTTCAACTGTAACCTCACAAATACTGAATATGGAAATATAATACTGCATATTACATTTGTTTCCTTTATCGGTTTAAAATTTCACATTTGGTCTCCAGTAGACTAGGAAAAAAACACTAAAAATATTTCTTAGACTATTCCTGAGCAATGTTTTCATGTACTGTAAAATACTCTAGTTTATTACTACATATAATAATATTCTCACAATTTAAACTACGTATAAATCCATGCTTTGAAATTTTACAAAGCTGAAGATCTGGTAGGCACAATGAAAGAATAGAAACAGGCAAGCATCTTAAACCCAAGATGAGCTCAACAAGAGAAGTGCATATACATATATGCAGATGGATATACTATATACAGAAGGTACTCTTCAGTATTTGCTACTTTTTCATTTTCTGTCAGAACATGAAGGATCCCTGTGTAAGATGTGGCCTGTCAGACCTCAGGTCACTTCTCACAAACCACTCACCGCCACCGGTGGCTGCAGATGAACTCAAGGCTGCTCCATATTTCATTCTAAAATGAAAGTACAAAGTCCCCTCTGGAATTTCATCTTTAACAAGACCGTGTCCCAGCGGCTGTGATTGATGGGAAGCTGGAACAGATGAACTGACCCTTGAACACTCACTGAGCTACACTTGGTATTCTCCTGCATCTCACAGACACCAGAGAAAGCCGAGGGGCCAAGGACAGGACCCCACCCTGGTGGGACAATTCCTCTCTGCAGGGTGTTTCTCCCATCACTTCACTAACCCCTGAAACAAGAGGCCAAGCCAACTGAGGCTGACTGGGCCACGGGATAAATAATAGTCATCTCGGGTGACTGAAAATACAGATCTTTTGTATCAAAATATATCTTTCCTTGAACTTAAAATAGCCTTTACATTTCCCTAAGAGTCTATTTTTTATGTTTTGAGCAGCTACCAGTTCTGCAGATCAGGCCGCAGAGTCTCTAGCAATGCCCTCGTTTTGCATTAGTCATAAATATCCATGTGCAATTTGAAATTTGGTCATTTCCTCTACATGACAAAAAGCATCAAGGATTACAAAATGAATTTCCAGGAAAGCGGGTATAAAAATACACATTCCATTTTCTTAATCTCTCACTATTGAAGCTGTCTGCTCCCTAACATTTTTTTTGCCTTAAAAAGAATCTTTTCCGCATTAAAATATTTCAAAGCATTATCTCCATTCTTCTTATAAAATCTAATTCATCAAAAAAATCCAATTCATCATCATCTGTGAAGAATCAGAGTTTGCCTTTGCATAGATAAGCACGCGCCATTCTTTCCCAAGAACAGTTGAGCCCTTTTCCACGACAAACCCCACCATCACCCCTGCCTCACCACAGGGCACATCCCCTCAAGAGAGAGAGCGTGGATCCTGTTCCCTCAAACACACCACGGGCTTCAGTGGACTTCAACTGCTGCAAGTAGGAGGACACGTTATAGTTATATCCTTCTCTAAACTTCCGTACTCTGCTAGTGTTATCTTCATTGAGCAACTGTAGATGTTGTTGAGGGAAGACCAATGGAAGACACTTGCCTTCAGGGGAAAGCTCTCCTGCGGGCTTTGCTGGTTTGGATGGGATGCATTGGGATGAGCAGTGCATTGGGATGAGCAGCGCTGACTGCCAGCCGTGCAGCGAGAACGCGCTCTCTCACAACTTCCTAAGAAGAAAACGTGACCCTTCTGCGTTGGCCAAACGCTCTCTTGCAGTCAAGAAGCATCAACATTACCTAACTAATTTTTCCTCATTTAAATTTGCGGGGTGTTTGCTTCGTGCCATTTGGTTTTATTTTCCTGTCCCCTGTTGGCTTTTTAGAAGTTACATAATTGTTGGCATTGCCATTTTTCTTTGCGTTTGTACACGGGTGTGTTTTTAAGCCTTTGACGGGAGCGGCCGAGCCATGAAATACCGGGGGTTGCTTGGGGGGTCTGATGTTCCCAACACTCTGGATTTTAGAGCTGCTCTCGGGGGGCTGCACGCCGAGGAGCTGCTGCCTTGCACCTGGGGTTCTTTTCAGTTCACTCCTCACTTCACCAGATTGTCTCTGAGAAGACACTGTGCGTCCTGTTCTCTCAGGAAGTCTCGAGTGGCCTGGCTGAGAGGACAGCTGGCGACTTTCTTCACAGTATGGATCTCCCCTGGGACCCAACCAGCGTCTGGGCTGCTTTGGAACCCCGTCCTGGGGAACCACTTGCTTGTTGGGCAACGGGCTGAGCAGGGCCTTGGCTTTGCCAGGGCTTTTCAGGGTGCGGGGGGGCCCGGGCGCAGTCTGGGGCCGGGCTCTGCCCACCCTGCCCTTCTCACTCTGCACAGTCTGCATCTGCAGCCACTCCAGCTGCACGAGGCGGTCGATGTACTTCTCAAGAAATCCTGTTGGCTTTGGCCGGAAGTCAGTTTTACCCTCCACATTAACAAAGATGGACAGCTGCTTCAAGTCCCAGGAGTTGAAAGGGGGCGGGAGGAAGTCTGGGTAGTAATACTCTGATTCTTTAAATCCCGTATCGGGAACGTGTTCCAAACAAACCGGGTCGATTTCTTCAGCTCTGAGAATGAGCTCTGGTGGTGTGCAGGGAGACGGGGGAATGGGAATCCTTTCTGAGTCAGAGAGATCACTGGCACTGTCATCTTCAGCATCTTCTTTAATAATTTGCACTGATTCAAAATCCAGGAACATTTCATCTACAGATGCTTCTTGCCATTTAGAAGAGCATGGACCAGCTTCAGCAACAAGTTCCTCATCATTCTTTTCCCACTGTTCTTTTTTGCTGCAATAGAAATGTTGCCTTGGCCCATCTGCACCCCTGCAGAAGTGCCCCTGTGTGCTGCCCTTTGTGCTCAGAGGGATCCTGTGCAGAAAAGATTCATTTTGCCTTCTTTCTGGGAGGCTCCTCTTTGGTCCTTGTGCTCTGTGCAGTGGTGTGCAAACACTTGTGATCCTAAAGAAAAAAGATCATATCCCATTGGAATGATTAATGCATTTGCAAAAACAGTTTACAAAGGTCTTGCTACCTCCTCCAAGGACATGGATCTACATGAATGAAGTTAAATTGGCATGGAAACTAAGTAATGAGGTGAAATGAATATTTGCTGGCAGAAATTACACTGCCTGCTAATGATGGCTTCTATTTTATTCAGATTTTGCCTGAGAACTCACTGACTTCCTAACTATCGATAACTTAAATTTGTTGTTCTCATCAATGCTGAATTCTGGGACCAGTGAAGTCAAAGGCAAACCAGAGAAGCCATGATTTCATCACAAGAATTTTATACACCAATTTGAAACGTCTACAAATTAAACAGACAATCTTAATATAAAGTTACCTTTTTGACTGAGTATTGTCATCCAGCTGGTTTCTTCCCTTCTTAAGAATACTTGGTTGGTTACCATCTTGAGTGTCCCGGGAAGTCTGGAAAGATGAGTATGTGATGTTAGTAGGAAGCTGATATAAACTAACACCCCTTTTCTGTAAACAAACACACACACAAAAAAGGGAATGATTTACCTTTTCAATGGCACTTGATACATTTTTGCCTAATCCTCCACGAGAAGATTTCACATGAGAAATTGGTTTACTTAGTCCTTTGGTGCTCGGATGGCTTTTTCCATTACTGTAACCAGCAAGGATTAAAGAGAATATCACTTATAAATAGGAATTTGCAATTTAGCAAAATTAATTATAAAGGTACAACATTTCTCATATGCATGTTCTCAACAAAATTTAAAGGACTATTCCTATGAAGTTAAGGAGTGAATGTGAGCAGGGAGCATACAGCCTATTTTGATTTAATACAAACTCTTTCATAACAAAGGTGCAAACAAAGTTCATCATTTCATGTTACATGGGTTGTGGGAATTTTAGTAGGAGAAAGACTCTCAAGCAAGCAAAAGGAACGGCATTACTGATCTGGGCAGCTTGAAATCAAAACACTTATTTTCTCAATTAAATCAGAAACATTTCTGTGTCAGGACACAGAATCATTAAATCAGTGCATTCCATAAGAACTGGAGAACAGAGTTTGTTCTACAAACAAGAAATTTTACCGATTTTAAAAAAGGAAAGCTGTAAAATATAATTTTAGAACAGGAAGAAGGAGGCTGTGCCCTCCTGATCTCATCTGGTTTGACTGCAGTTCAGTTAATTTGTCAGGCTGTACATTGTGTTCTCAGTTTCTATGTCAGGATAATCAGATTTTGGTTTAAAAAACATAATTCCACCAATTCGGGAGCTTATAAAAGAATGAAAGTGGGTCTTGTGCCTCCAGCAGTGATGCAGCCACCTCTGTCACTCTGTGCCCTGTCACCGCACTGCGCGGGCACCTCTGTGGGGCCAGAGGAGCATCCGCGCCGTGCAGCCATGCACTTATTAACTCATCTGCACTTATTAACTCATCTGCACTTATTAACTCATCTGCAGTCTTTAGAGGTTTCTGTAACTAGAAAGAAAGAAAATAATGTCCTTACTTTACCATTCCTTTGTGGTTTCCATTGATTTGGATTTCCTTTTTTGGCGCCTCTCTGTGCAGTAATAAGGGATATTTCTGAATGCCCGGTCCCATTATTACTCTTTTTAAAGGGCATCTGCACCTTTATTTGTACATGATCTTCAGACGGCTGCGGGTCGGGGGTCGGTCGGACACAGCGGATCGCGGGCGAACATCCCCGCCGGCTCCTGGGGAGGCACAAACAGCCCGTGCGGTTCCTCCCGACGGGGCGGGCAGGACAGGGATAACCGCCCTTCCCTCCCCCGCGCCGGCTCCGCGGGATCCAGCTCCGTTCTCCTCGGCGTTGCGGGTCCGTGGCGAGCGGCCTCCGTGGCACAGCCCGGCCCTCGGCCCCGGGGGGAGCCGGCCCGGCCGCCCCGCCGACACCGACCTCCTGCGGGGAGGCCGAGGGGCCCGTCCCCGGTACAGGGAGGGACGCGGGGGTGCGGCGGAGTTACCGGGGCCGCTTCTCACTGCCTGAGGGGCTCCTCACCCCGCGGCCCCGGAGCCGCACTCGGGGGGTGTGTGTGTGGTGTGTCTGCTCCCGATTGCGGGGCCGCAGCCGATCCGCCGCCCGCGCCGGGGGGCTCTGCCGGAGCCTGCCCCGCTCCTCCCGCCACACGCCGATTCTGTGCCCGACGCTCAATTTCTTGCTTCTCCCAACACCGACCTCCCAGCGCCCCCGCAGCTCCCGCTAAAAACCCAGCGGAACCCACAGCGATCTCCCGTGTTCCCGCACCGGGCGCGCACGGACACGGCCCGACTGCCGCCCGAACACCTCTCCCCACCCCGTGCCGTTGCGTTTGTGTATTAACGTCCGTATCCACGGCTGTATGTTTGTATTTGATTCCCTCCTACTCCTCTCCCCCCCCCGCGGGGTGTCCGTCCCGTCTCCCCCCGGACCCCGCTCCCTCCCTGGCGGCCGGGCCGGCGGGCAGCCCCCGGGCGTTATAACGGACCGCCCCCGCGCCTCCTCGGCCCCCCCGGCACTCACC